CACAGATTTGCCAAAAGAAGTTTGTATGAGAATAAATGAAGAATTGGTTAAAGTAAATGGTTCATGGACTAACAAAAAAGTAAGAGACTACTGGTATTACCACATTAAAAGAAAATCTAAAAATGCCAGAGAATCATAATATTTAATTAATTTAAAATATTTAAATAAAATTAATAAATAATAATGTATATCATTTTTTGCTTTTAATTTCTTCCCCAAAAAATAAAATGCCCAATAAATATATATTTTTCAAAAGCTAATATTATACTCTACCTGTTAATGTTAAAAAGATCCCAAGGAGTCTTCTCCCTGAAAAGGATGGTGGTTCCGAAGACAAAAAGTATGTGCCTTTTCAAATAATTATTTCTCTTGAATGAAAAAAGCTAATGAAGTAGTGTTCCATGTTGCAATCCAAAAAAGGAAACCAAAGTGGTCGCAAAATGGTTGCAACCAGGTGTTGCAAACTATTTTTATATGTCGCAAATATGGTTGCAACCATCACCAAGAATTGTGACCAGCATCTATATAATGAGGTATAAAAGATTGTGATTGAAAGAGCGAAATTATGAAAATATGTTTACATAGAGACATGAAGGATGTTCGATCATGCTTTTTTGTTCATTTTTGGTTTTAAAGTCTGTTGTATGGAAAAGTACTATGTAGATCACTATAACAAAATCACTCATTGTGATATCATGGATGACTGCTAAAATATTATCTAATATATGTCAGTGCCCTTATTTGACTATTTCTATAGTATTTTTGTTCCACCATAGATGATGGGAAGATTTGGTAACCTTTTTATTATTATGAAACTTACCCTGGGAAGATTTGGTAGACAATGTAAAGAGTATATAGCAAAAATTTTTTTCAAAGAAAAATAAGTTTTTATGAAATACAAAGTATTTTTAAGAATATCATCAGTAAAAAAAAAATTTATTTTACTAAAAAAAATGATATGTTTACTATATAGTGAATTAATCTACTTTTTGCATCATACTATGTTAAAATAAATGGATCAGCACTAATATTTGGACCAAAAATCCCTGTACATTTAAGGGATAATGCAGATCATCAAAAATTTATCAATCTGCATGACATGTCCTGTGACTGCTACATTTTACAAATTTTTCCAAAATAATTCCATATCTTTTATAATAATCATTCATAGCAATAAAAATTATAATTCATACAGAATTTCCATTTACAGATTTTTATCTCAATTTTTATTATATGGGTTCCATGCTAACAAAAAGATAGTTCGGGTTCAAGAACCCCAAAATGAGTTGTTGATACCACTATATT